TTCGAAAGAATCCTATAGTGGAAATGATAAAAGCTATATTCGGGCAATCACATCACACGATGTCTTTACTATATGTCGCGCTTTTAGATCATGTCGGTCATAGGATATACTCGGGAAAAGAGATGTTACGTTACTATTCACAGGGGTTTAAGGAATTTCAACAGAAGTTGCAGAAACTATTGGGAAAAAATGGAGTGTTAATTTATCCAACTTTCCGAAACACAGCACCTTTTCCTGAACTGGCTTTCGGTGAACTACCAAACATCGTCTTGTACTCCTCTTTGGTTAATGTCCTCGGCTTCCCTGCAGTGCAAATACCAATGGGGCTCAACAGCAAGGGAATGCCCATGGGTCTTCAGGTAAATAAATTGAACTTGGTATCTCAAAGAAGATGTTTAAAATATCTTAATCTTCTTGGGATGAGTTCGCGTTTCGATTTGAATTTATTTGAAATTATTCCCGTAACTTAGGGAAATAAGAAAGGAAAATATGTGCCTGGTAGTACTGAAATACAGGATGAATACGCATAAATGTTCTAACTTTTATACATGAGATATTAGTTATCGACGGCAATTGTAATTGATCAAACAGCGTGAAGATGGCCTGCGCATATCTCTCGTTTTCAAAGGATTAATGTATGTCTGGGAAGATAGAAATTTTTCGGACATTTATTTTTATTTATTCATAATTTCATATGCTAGTAAAGTTGTCTGAAAATAATTAAAAGTAAATTATTCATTGAACGACATATTAAAAAATTTTAGGTGATAGCTGCGCCATATCAGGACCGTCTCTGTTTGGCTGTTGCAAAGGAGTTAGAGACGGCCTTCGGTGGTTGGGTACCACCTTCGATATCAGCTACGAACAATTAAGACATTGTCGATTTTTTAACTTACTTATCTTTCATATCTACTGTTCGGTAAATATACAGATACCCGTTAAAAAACTTTTTTTATATCATTATGTATAGAATATGTCCATATATCAAAATGTACAGAAACTTTTGTCGGTTGTCGTGGTGCGCAAGTGAGATGAGTAAAACTGAGCAGAAAATTTATGTACCATGTTGCAAAATTCGTAATAGTTAATAAAGAATTAATTTCATTTGTATGAGCTAATGAGCGCACAGGAAGCGGTAAGCTACATTGTATTTAAAGAATAATGACTTGTTTCTTTAGATTTAGCAACAATGAGTATCAATTTATAGCGAGAGGCGTGTTTCTTTGTTGCACGCAACTTTGCGTCATTTGTTGTACCTAACGATAAATTTAAGATTCGAAGTTCAAGGTTCAATATACTGATGTCTGTCGCTAGGTTCAATATACTGAAGTCTGCCGCTAGGTACAACAGCTGTCATGTACTTGTAGGCCATTCAGAACAAGAAACATTATAATTTTGCAAATAACAAATTTTTCAGTCTTTAATTAAAGAAACCTCTATGCATGACCATTCTTATGCATTAATAACTCGAAATTTTGCGTTTGTTTATGAAACGGTAGAGGACTTTTCTGCTCAGTTTAATCCTTTCTATCTGTACACAAACGGTTGTACGAAACATACCAAACACCCAGTATATATGTGATTATATAAAATTTATATAAAATTATATAAAATTATATAAAAATTATATTATATAAAATTATATGTAATTATATATTAAAATATATATATTTGCATGTAATCATATATAATTTATTATATACATTTATATGATTATACATATGTATAATAAAATAAGAGTAGAAAAGATGTTGGTAATAAAATTTATTTACTAATAATATTTTGGCGACAGATGTAAAATAAAATCGTTTGCAATACATGCAATATATTAATAATCAATATGAAAATAAAAAAGATGTAAACAAATTTGATGGAGTCCCTCAAGAGCACATCATATTGCATTTAAGCAAAAGTCTGTTAGTTTAGTTTTCAACAACGCACGAGCTAGCTTATTGCTTCCCGTGCGCTCATAAATTAAAAACCTGTTTTGCGGAGTTTTTACATCTGACGTTTTTGTTTTTTCTATAATGTGTTTTACTATTATTTAGTCAAGGACAAAAAGGTAGCAGCAGGCGTGGTATTAACATACATTTGAATATATCATCAGTACAGGTCTATTCTGTAATTTTTAACTACACTAGTTCATCGTAACGTTATCGTTGCGTAATTCTTCATTACTATCACTCACATATTACTCTCAGCAAACACCAAGTAACAGTTACATAATTATTATAAGTAATAGGGCCTAGCGGCATTGTAATAAATTACTTCTAATAAACAACTATGGTTGGTCAATTTGATTACTGCTTATGTCTTAAAGCAAAATTGTTGATAAGAGGAAAGTGACGATAAATTTGGCCATAGGAAAAACTCATCTGATTTTTTTTCAATGTGTGAATTCTCCTTAATATTTAAGTAGTATGAAAATTGACCGTATCAGATTATGAATTAGGGATTGTTATTCAACTGAATTTAGCCAATCAGTGCAAAGTTAACTGAATTTAAATTTAGTGAAATTTAGTGAGCTTTGCACCGATTGGTCAAATTTCAATCCAATCTCTATCTCCAATTCATAATCAGATGCGGGCTTTATGACCTCCACAAATTAGCTTCTAGAACTAATAACCGTAATGTTCGTATCAGACTACGTATTAAGATTGAGATTGAAGTTCAACCAATCAGAGCAAATTTAACTAAACTTGAGTTTAGTAAATTTTGTTTTGATTCATCAAATTTCAATCCAATTTCAATCCTAATCCATAGTCTGATATGAGCCTAAAAAGTCTGAAGTGTAATAAAGGAATATTTAGACAAGACTCGAACCTTCTTTTATATAAGACGCAAATTTTTGAACGAACGAGCTTTTATTCGTTAGATGTCACTGAAAATTATTTAATTATTTCATGTTGTTTTTAACTAAGCCTCTAAGCCTGATTTACAATGTGCTCTTTGCGTCTTGTTTCTTGCTTTTTACTTCTTGTCTCTTTATTTCTTGACGCACTGTTTTACCGACAATTTTGTCGCTTGTCGCTTGCGTTTATCGGAGTTCGTTAAATTTTAAAGCTCTATAATATATTCTTATGTCTTGTTTTTTGCTTTCTATCTTTTTTTTATAACTTTTATTTACTCATGGAAAAGAGATTGAAAGCAAGAAATAAGAAACAAAAAGTACATTGTAAATCAGGCTTAAGGAAACAAGACACAAAGAACACATTGTAGACCAAGCTTTATACTTGTTTGGATCGTATCTTCTTACAAGTATTATTCCTTGGGTACAATAAATTGAACAATTTATAATTTAAAAGATAACGTAAATAGATAACAAAGAAATATCGTAGCTGTGTGGGTATAAAGCAGAAATCTGATTGGTTGAATGTGGACAAAACTAATTAAAAATAGTTGACAAGATATATCACTAAATAGACTAATATTTTCAGTTTGGTGAACGTAAAATATTATTAATAAGTAAAAATGATTGATTTGTACGAAATCAACAGCCAATGAATAGCGTTTTATCTTTTATCGAGACAATTTTAGTTCTCATTAGCAAATCAGCACGAGCTCGGCGTTTGAACCCGAAAACGATTGAGAAGTTCGATTCAATTTAAAAATATTCATAATGAACGCAAACGTGATAGCACAGATGCAGAGAGATGTGAAATATCGGAGGATTTTTCCGGTAAAAGGTGCGAACGCGTCATCTGTAACATGCCAAGCCGAGGCCGGCTAAGATAGAAACCTGATTGGTCGAGCGTGGGCAACCACCGATTAATCATGAGAGTTCACGTAATGGCGGTGTGTCGCCACCATCTCGCAGTGATCGTCGTGACAGCACGTGTTATAGCTGGGTTGGCGGTTTGCCGTTGGAAAAGTGAGTATAATCGAGCGTGTGATGATTTTTCCTCGTTTCCCGATCTGACGGCCGTGTGTTCGACGTAACTTGTGCATCCCGTGCGACATCCTGCAGCCGTCAGGGCGCCGGTATCAGCGACTATTCGCGTCCGAGTGCGGTGCTATTTACAAGACGCTAAGCACGTGCGTCGTCGCGCTGACGCTCTCTCATAACAGTTTCTCGGGTCGCCGGTTAACCTTGATACTCGTTTCGCATGACCGGTAAGGTTGACGTTCACTCAGCAGTTGTCCTATGTTTCGCGATATGTTCCGGGTGAACACACAAGACGTCTTGTTTTGATTTCGTCGGACGCTAACCTAAAATCCGACGATTCGTTTCTCTCTTCCTCTCTCTCTCTCTCTCTTTCTCGGTGATCGGAAATTTGAATCTGCTCATACGCTGGTCATCAAAGCCGGATCTGAAGGCAGACTCGATCCTGCCCGATCGATCTGCTACTTCGAGTCGACCAATTAATGTCGACTTGAAACGGAATCGACCAACGTGATCTTCCGTTGCAAATCCGAGCACGAAGGTTAACGACATCGTGAAACGGAACGTCTCGCGTCTCCGATGCATCTGGTGGTATCGTGAAAGAGAGAGAGAGAGAAAGAGGGAGAGAGAGAGAGAGAGAGAGAGAGACGATATGGCTTGGGGCAAGAAACCGAGAACGTTTTCTCGGAAATGATTACTGTCGTTAGCTCGGTCCGTGATCCTTTATGGTAAACTTTTTGTCCGTTTCGTTGAACGCGATGAGTTTTCGGGACTCGCGCGCAAATTCCGACTAGTGCGCGCGCAGTGACGCGGATCAGTCAGTTAGGCCGATGGCTGCCGATGTATAAAAACTGAAACTGTTAAACTACGGTAAGCTGTTAGATCTCAGTCGACATTTGCGCTAGTATTTCGCGTACACGCGCCATTTGCATCTCAATTCGGCCGATATCAGCCGATTTACACGTAAACGTTCGCGTGAACTGTGGCAGATCGAACGTGTCGCGAAGTAATTGACGCTGTATTCCCATTTAACCCCTTCGTCCTGGAGAAGCCGTTTTTTTTATCGCCACACTTGTCGTCGCCATAACGAAGCGAGGTAAATGCGAAATGAAAAACGATTTGTTAAATATGTCCAACTCTTACAGAAAAGTATCACTGGCTATGATAAGGCGGCCATTGATGAATTACTGTTAATCAGCAATTTTATTACTCGCACGATAATAAAACTATTAAGCATCAGTAATTTATTACTGGCCAGCAATATTTCCCCGTAAAGGATACGTATTATCAAACTTAAACTTTCGTATTCGATGCATTTTCGTGGTTGTCAACAAACCGAGAGAGAAAGAGGAAGGTAGATAATTTTAGAGAGAGAGAGAGAGAGAGAGAGAGAAAGAGTATAGCTACAAAAGCGCCATAAACACGTTCGAACAAGTTACACTATGACAAATTTTAATCAGAATGCGATAGATTAATGCTCGTTTCTATCGTCATGATTATCATAATCAGATTGGTAAATCGCAATTAGTCGAACTGATTAATGCGATTAGTAAATTCCATTGAGTTAATCGTCGATTAAATTTAAATTATGGTAACAAAAACGAGCATAAATAGTCATTACATTCATATTCATTCATATGCAATGTGCCACTATTAGCACGGATTATTCGAATTAAGCTGCTCTATTATTGTCATTAACATTGCCTACAGAGAGAATTAACGTATACATTGCGTGTTTACAGGTGGGAGCGGTCGCAAGAGCCAAGGAAGGAATAAGCCACAGGAATACCAGGAAGGAGCATCTAAGGTAAATGTCTAAAATCTAAGGTAAATTCTTGAATACTTGCGTAATCTTAATTACTTAATAACTGGGTCAATTCGCAAAGGCTTCCTTATGCGCGGGTACTTGCGGAATATGTTAAACTTTTGCGAGAGAACAGTCGAGCCTGGTTTTTCTTCTTCCGCGTTTGTCGAGAAATTCATTCAGCCGGATGTCGAATTGGCCGTGAAAGTTCTTATCTGAGATGTGTGCGAAGTGAATTTCAAAGGAATGCGTCATTCATAAGATAATGTATCATTTGGTAATGCGAGCCGATATTCTAGTTTACGACATTTCGGGTGGGTTCTGCGGAATAAGGTGCTGCTGATATGAAACATATTTATTAAAAATCTAGCGTTCTCTACGCCTACTACAGTAAATATCACAGGTACACGTTTCTCTATCACAAGATCCTCCGCTCGGTCATGTATTCACGCGGTCGGTAATGACGGGCGCGCGCTTCCGAAATCGTTGAAATTGTCGTCTCGAAGGATTACCGTTATCCTTGGTCCCTTGTGTGCGATTTTTTTGCTGACCGGTGGAGAGATTCATATACAACAACGTAATCGGCGAGCGACGACCGGATGCGACTCCGCGTCGCCGATCGCCATACTCGCGCGCCGTACGGACAAAATAATAAAAAAAAAAAATCCTCGATAAAAGTATGAAATAAACAATAGAAAATATATCTAACTGTCGAGTAAATTAAAGCTTCAACCGCGCGGGGCCGCGAGAAGAAAATATTACGTATCGAGATCCCAGTGCTTCCGACTGTTGTCGCGGAACGTTGACGATGATGTTGAGAGTACGAAAGCCGAAAGGCCGAAACGGAAGAGCTTGACGTCCGCGTCATCGGTGCATCGTTACTCCGTGGTGTCTTTGAGCAAATGGAACTCCTTAAGCCTATATGTCTTTTTTCTCCTCTCCTTCTTCCATTTCTTCATGCTGCTGCCGGCTTTCTCTCTTTATTTCTGCTCGGAATGCTTCTGATCGTATTCATTCACGAGCGGTCATCCGTTCAGATCACAGACGAGATTGCAAAAACACCGGTGACGAACTTCATGGTCCTTCGGGAGTTTTCACCCTTACACCGGTTTCTGAGGGTTGGTGTTGTCTGATTCGGCTGCGACGGGTTTTACCAGGGTCGCCAGATAGGCTCGTTAGGCTTGGCTACCTGCAGGAGGCCCTGGTGGCTCTGGGAGACGGCGGCTTCGATGTCGGTTCGCACTGGCGACGGTTGGCTCGATGCCGGTGTGAGCGGCATCGCGTACTCGTCGGAGCTGAGCTCGCTGGCGGAGGACGGCGAGGATTGCGGCGCGGCCACGTGAATGGTCAACGGCCCGGTCTTGTCCATGGAGTTGAGCTTATGGCCGAGGTGTGTCATCAGCTTGGTGCCGAGGGCGACGTCGACGCCGGGAGTGGCGGCCAAGCAACGGCTGACCTCGTTCGCACAGTGCGTGTAGCCGGCCCGGAAGCGATCGGCGTCGATCACCGGGTTCGCCGAGAGACGCTGCTGGCGTTGGAGTTTGTGCAAGTGACGCACCGTCAGCTCCAGGATATCGGCCTTCTCCAGCTTCGCGACGTTCTCGCCGTCCCCGGCTAGCGCGGTCACCATCAGCTCCTTCAGCTCGTCCAGGCAGCGGTTGATGCGCGCTCGGCGTTTGCGTTCTAGCATCGGCTTCATCACCTATCAATCGGAAGGCACGATTGTAATCAACGTTGCGTTTGACTTACGGTAGTCGGTGAAATCTGTTAAAGACGTCGTTTTCCGAAAAGAGGAAGTTACTGAATTGAATTCGTTTAGTTAATTAATTAATTAATTGAACGTGCAACCAAGCGGCAGCGAGATAGCTCCGAGTTTACGCGACGATTGAGAATGATAAGATAACGCGATAACGTGATGCCGAAGAGACTCACCTTCCGATACTGATACGTCCTGGAGATCGGCTGCTCTTGGCCTTCGACCACGATGATCTGTTCGTGCATCTGCATGGTTAATCCTTTTTTCTTCTTCCCCGGCGGCTTCTTGCGCGGCACAGTCAAAACTTCACTGACAACGATGCAATAGCTTGTCGCGAACGCGACAACCTTTATCTCCTCGTCACACACCGGTTCGTCGAACTTGAATCGTCGCTGTGGCGATTCACGTACGGTTGGGCGGAAGGAAACGTGTGTTCTAGAAATACGCGTTTCCAGCTCGACCTTCGTGAAGGAACAGCGTGATTGTGGTGGCGGTCGGGCGAGGCTGAGACTTATATAGGCCGTGGGTCCCCGGCGGGGGGAGACGAAGGGGCACGTCGGGCCGCATGGTGGGGGACAGGCCTTCCGTGGGAACGGTCCGTAGAGGTTGGTTCCCAAGCAAGCACACCACCTGTAAGCGGCAGCTGCCAGACACGCGCCCACACCAAGCCATCGTCACCGTTCCTTCGTCCTTGTTGCACCTAGCCGCGGAGTCGATGTTCCCTACCTCGGCTGATTGTCGACGAGTGGTCGTGCCACGGTATGCGTGGCTTGTAATCGTAGTCTCTCTCTCCCTCTCTCTCTGTTTCATCTACCTATCTATCCGTCCGTCCAGTCATCCATCTCTGTCTCTCGCTCGCATTGGCGCGGTATTTCCTCGAGCGCTTATACGGAAGGACTAGGCGTACTTTCCTTGTCTTCGGGCAAAATAGAGAGCCGGCTTTCTTTGTCTCACTTGCGGGACACACGGGGCACCTTCCTCTACGGTACATAGCTTCCATGCTCGTGCTGGGGGCTCTCTTCTTATCGAGATGCCATACCCTCTCCTCTCCCCCCCTCGTCCGGTTCCCTCGCTTCTGGTACTCCCGCTCTTCGCCGACCGAGGAACGTGCTGGGCACAAGTCTGGCACAACTCCGGCTCGTGATTGCAATCCCACCGGTTACACGATGTTGAATCGTGCGCCATGCCACTATGTGTGTGTATACTCGTGTACGTGTGTATGTCGTGTACGCACAAACGCGCGTGTATTTGTAGCCGTCCAGCCACCGTCGCGGAATGGTATCGCGGCCATCCGTGATGCTATTGATCGATCATTTTACGCGTATTAACGAAGGGGGAGGTCGTGCGCGAGCGATAAAAGTCGTCGCTGCAAAAGGGTATGACAAATCGGTCGTTAGGCAGGTCGCGTAGCGGAGCGAGAAGCGATTAATTAATTCCCCCCGCCCCTGGCGCCGGTTTCTGTATCGTCCAGTTCCCGTGAACGTGTCGCGGCGCGAGTGAATGGGATTGGATTTTAATGTAATGACTCGCGCTCGATAGCTCGTTCTTACTTTGTCTCATCGACACCGTCGTGTCGGTGGCCCGTGATTTTTTAACACGCGGTGTAGAGATCACGACGCCGAGAAAAACGCGAAGACAAACGCGTCCGCGTTTCTACGTTATGGTTCGTTACGTCGTTCACGATTTCTTTTTTTTTTTTTTTACGACGCTGAAAATGCCTCACTCGAACCTTACAATTTTACGTGTAATTATCATCGGCCGTACCGATAATAATTACAAAAGACTGAGTGAGTAAAAAATGTCGAGTGTGCGCGGATATATTCAAAACGTTGCTTTCGCGGAAAGAGCGGAATGTGCCTTTCGTACGTCCGATTGGTAGCTTATCGCTGGCTGGCGAAAATTGGCTGAAAGTGGGCCTCGGACCTCGTGGCTTTAATTTCGCAGGGATGCTCGTAAAATCGTCCTTCCGCTCCTTATTCCTTTGGATAGTCATCGCGCGAAACGAGTATCTCGGGTACGCTTGTTCGCGCGCGCGCGCACATCCTGCGTGGACTTCGAGATACTAATTTCGGCGAGCCACTGACTGAATTATATCCTACATGGCCATGCCATCCCCCTACGTCTCCTCCTTTCTTTGCTATACTCCGTGTCTCTTCCTCCTTTTTTCTGCCTTTCGTCCACTCGTTTTTCCTTTTCCGTTCGCCGTCTTCCCGTGGCCGACCGACCGACCACTTTGCTTATTTCGCGGCGAGCCGGATACTTAAACGTCGTTCGCACCGAATAATTACGCACGCTCGTTTTGAGCCCTTCTCTCCCCCCTCTCGTGCTCTTACGACCCTACGGCAATCTCCTCCTCTTCCTTCTCATTCTTCTTCTTATTCTTCATCGTCTTCTTCTTCATCTTCCTCGTCTTCTCCTCCTCCTTCTCTCTTTTCCTTTTCTTCTTGTTTTCGCTACCGCAGCTTTTACTAGGCTACTTGTTCGGTTTCTGTTTTTCCTCCCAACCTTCGTCTCACTCTTCTTCTCTATCCTATTTTTTTCCCTCTGGTGTTTTTCTTTCTTACACCGACCTATTGCACATGTCGTTAAGGACGTGGCAGCGCTTCGATAAAATCTTACGCGATCGCGAGATAACACCGGCTCGTAGCTCGTTTCCTCTTTCGCTCCCGCGTCTTTGATCGAATCTTTTCGTCCCGCGCGATCTCGTGGGATCTAATTAGCGTGATGTCGTGGGACTTGAGTGATTTAGGCGCTGCATAATATAAATGTGACCACAAAAGCCGGGCGTGGTGAAAGCGTACCGAATAATTTCCGAGAATAGATCTCTCAATCTAGATGTTTGAGCATTTTCTGAGTTTCAAGCTCGCGTAGACTTTGGGTGAGTCACAACTTCAGTTGTACGGCCGATAACATGTCGTTAAAGCGATGGATTGTTACAAAGAGTATTTTTATAACAGCGTCACGTGTCGGATTAAGTTAGAGTCGGTTTCCTGTCACACGCCGGACCTCATTATTTATTGCTCTTACGACATGCGAACACGCGCGAATGTGTCGATAGACAATGTGGAATTGATTTCGCGTCACGCTCGATTCACGTGTCCGCGTCCTTTGCAGGCAGCTCGCACGTGCTTACACCGTAGCACGTGGCACGCGAGGTTAACGGCAAGCGGGTAGCGGTAGAACGGAAGGAAGGAAGGTACGAAATGTCGCGATCGACTCCAAGAGAGCCGACGAATCAATTAGAGAATTATTTGAACTATTTACACGATACGACATTATTGCAATGTGTGACATGTCGGTTGTAACAATTGCATACTAAGTAAATTTTAGAATTTAAGCAGCCTATTTTTATCTATAGAAATAGTTGACTGGATCAGTATAGTTGCATAGATCAATATAGCCATGCGAACTTGTAAAAAAGAGAAATACTTTATATCATATATATGTGTGCGTGTGATATTTTCTTTTTTTTTTAATCGTATCGCAAATATATATATATATATATATGATGTACGTAACAACTTGATATAAACATTTTATTTGGAAAAAAATCCGCCGATTATACGCTATCATAACGCGATGCAAATTACGATGAAAAAACATGAAAAGTTGTGGTTTTTTCGACGCGGATGTTTTTCAATGCTGGAGCCTCCGAGTTGCGGCAGCAAAATTAATTGTTCGCACGCGTAGCACAACTCGTCGGCTCGCCGATCCGATAAACTTCTCGCTGTAACGTTGTTGTAACGTTGAGCCGACAGATGCGGCGGTGCACGAATTTTCTCACACTCTTATTCGCGAGGTTTTTACTTTCCCAGGTTCTCTCTCCGGCGTGTGTGCATACACATGCCGGGTCGTGTGATCGCGTGCCCGCTTCACTCGTAGAGAGATATAGAGAAAGAGAGAGAGGGGAGGGGTAGAGAGAGAGAGAGAGAGAAAGAGAAACTTATTAGGAAGTATATCAGCTGTTCACAAGCATATGTCACGAGCCGTTTGGCTCGTGCCAGTATGCTTATGATCTCCCTTCTCTTTTCTCTTCACCCCTGTTAATATCCTCGTGATATCAACCCCCTCTTTGCAATGTGCGTTCACACGTGTCGATTCATGCCGTTTGACGCCTCGAGGAATCCAAAAGTAAGATTCGATACGGTAGGACACCCCAAGCAGAACAGAATATTCGTGATAATTATAAATAATTGTCTCCCCCCTTTCGAGAATGTGTGTTAGTAACGTAATTCACTTCTTAAATTATGATCTCGTGTTTGCAACGGTCTTCACAAACGCGATAGATACCAAATGCAAAAAGATCAAAAAAGCAATGGCGATAATATTGGAAAAGAAAAAAGGTAGAAAAACAAGATGCGAGAACGGGACATTCTCACGGAGCAATCGGCTTCACCTGGCGCCGTGTGCGCACACAGGAGCCCCTGCCGCGCACTTTGCCCTATTTAAACGACCTTCCCTCTACCCCAATTTCTTCCATTTTTCTTTTTTCTTTTTTTTTAATAGCGCTGCCCCACGGCACGTGCTCATAATGCCGACACACGCCGGTGTTACTTCCGTGTGCGCGCGGCGCGGCCTTTCACAGCTTCCCGACGATATCCGGTAGAACCTGAATCGCCGTGACCTCGCCGTGACCTCGCCGTGACTGTCTACCTCCTGCGTATTCGTGGCTCGTGGCGCAAGCTGTTGTTCGCGAAACTGGAGTAACCTCCGACCAGTTTAAAGAATCTGAGCGGGTAACCAGTTCGCGCGTAGCTGTTCGCGCGATTTTCACACGTCGGTTTTACATGCAGGTATTTCGGAAAGATTGTAGAAGAAGCGAGAGAGAGAGAGAGAGAGAGAGAGATAGGGGGAAAGGGGAAGCGAAGAGACATAGCGCGATGCCCCGACATCGATTTCAGAAGTTGTCTCTCGGATTCTCGGTTGGCTGTTGTTTGTCGAAGGAGAAGTGGCCGTGATAGGAGCCGAAGGCGCCCTTTGTGGGCGTCTCGGGGCCCAAGATTGCGCACGTGCTCGGCTTTCCCACGCGTATAACGCGCAGCCGGCCTGCAGCCGAAAGGGAGAGGACACCGGGAGAAGGATGGGGCCCGTTGCTGTGGGCCCATTGTGTCGAGCACGGGCCCCGAGACAGTGGAAAATTAGAGGCCTCCCCGCGGATTTCGCGCGAAATAGCCAAGCGCGAGAGCACGAGAGCGAACTACTTAACTCTCGTGGGCTCCGCCGAAGGGTTTCAGTTTCCGCGATTAACGATACGGAACGGATGGCGTGTCGGGTCGGACGCTCCTCGGGACGAATGTTATTACGTTCGCGCGTACACGCGCGCGAAATGACACTCGCCCGTTGAAACAAGAAGCCGAGCCGCGTGACGCAGCTTTCAGCAATGCGTGGGCCATCATCTATGCCGGATGCGTCCGCAGGTATACGTATGTTTGCGACAGACACGAGCGTTCTAACCCCCCGAA